GGGGTTCAGAAGAGTAAGTAGCTGTCACACTTGCTTGAGTCTGGGATCTCCTTTCCTCTGTGTGAGGCCTTTTTACAGCCAAGTCCAGCTTGAGGAAATCCTGCAGTTTCAGCCTCCTCACCCTCAGCCCTTCCCAGCACCTCCTCTGCCTTCTTTTCAGCCATCCCTGATGGGGCTGAGATGTCCAGGGCTGATGAGGTGCCTTTGGAACATCCCTCCTGTTGCCTGCACAGGTCTGACCTCGTGAGACCTTGGTCTGAAACATGAACCGCGTTCCAGCAGACACGTGGGGTGACCACCCAAATCGAGCATGAACTGAAGGTGCCACGTAAGACCAGTGAGAGCACTGAGCAGTCACACCACAGTGCAAGTCCCTCAAGATCCACCAAAGTCAGCTCTGGGTGGGTTGTCCTGCCGGACTTCCATCACAAAGCATCATCCTTGATGATAAGAATATCCAAAGGGAGTACAAACCCCTTTGGAGAGGGAAGTATGAGCCTCCCCATGCAGCTCTCCTGCCTTCCTGAGGGCAGGGAGATGTCCTGCCAGCAGTGACCATGCGAAGGAGGCTGCTTCCCATGTTACAACATCCCGGCAGGAAGAGCCCAGAGATGCTCGCCGTGGACAGGCTGCTGTGCTGAAATGGGGCATTGAGCAATCAAACCAGTTGAAAACCCTGGTGTCTAGAAATAAAAAGTGACTGTTTGTTTTCTAACGCCTCTATAGGGGCCGGTGGGGGCCCACGCCAGGCGGCGGCAGGTTGGAGGAAGCAGCTGTAGCTGGTTGGTGTTGTATTCCTGAGCAGTTCAACTGTGAGCTGGGACCTGTGACTGAGCTGTGGTTGTCTCTCTGTGCAGAGCACTTGGCCTTTGGGCTGCATGGAGATGCCTGCAGAGTTTTTCTTCTTTGTCCAGGTTGAATTGGGTGAAATACCAGGAGTTTTAGCTGGAGCAAAACTCGCCTTCCTTCTCCCCCGTCCAGCAAACCTGTTTTCCATGCAGATTTGTCACTAGGTAACTCCTCACGCTGTGTTTCAGGTGTGTACCAAGGTGCACACTGGTTGTCCTCATGGACACTGACTTCCTCCCCTGAAGCCACATGCAGTGGTGCTTTCGGCATTTGGAGAGGGGCATGTCCTGGGAAACTACAGAAGCATGTTCTGAACAAGACTGGTAATGCTGCAGTATATAATCAGGCTCATTTTCTCCCAAGGAAAATGCTTCCCAGTGGCACAACTGACTTCTTGTCATGACAAATCTCAGAAGCAACTTTGACTCTTAACCCAAATAACATCCCTGAGCCAGTGAGCAAAACATCAGGGGTGGCTACAGCATTTATGTCCTTTGCAGCACCCAAAAATCAAAGTGTTCACCATGGAATAGATGCCTTTATATTGGAAGACTTTAGAGAAGGATCTTCCCACATTATCTGCCCTGATTCAGCTTTTCCCTATTGGTTGATAGGACTGGATAAACACACTGCTCCTTCCCAGACATACTTGAGGAGAACAATCTATCTCCTACAAGTCTTCCTTCATGGAAACCAAGCTCTGCTCTCCTTCCCATATGAAACCTTCTGCTCCTGAAAACAGGAGTCCATTAGCCTGGACATCTCCCAGAAAGTACTTTCCCATGCCTGCAGGGATTGCAGCCGTCTCCAGAGGAGCAGCAGGTCCTGGCACCTGGATTGGCCTTCCTGGGAAGCAAGGAAATATCTCCATATCAGGCAGGACTTTGATGGTATTGCTGTTCCAACTCAAACAGGTGCTCAAGGTGTAGTAAACCACCCAAACTAGTGCTTTAGGGGTAGCAGCCTCTGACCTTCTCATTCATACTGCCACAACGCTGCTACAGCAGTGAGGATCATTCAGGAGAGGAGATGCAGCCTGTGCCACAGATGCCATATGCAGCTCGTACATCATTCCCAGGGCTTGGGATTCCCAAAGATTTGGGGGACCGTTGGGACTTGCCAGCAGACAAGTCATTGATGAAGAAGAGCCGACAGCAGGCACTGAGGTTTCACTTCAGTGAGGCAACAGAGAAGAACCCAAATGAGCAGAAACCAACGAAAGTATTTGAGTCACCGGTCGCCCCAAACCACTAAGCCAGGGCACAGCTGCACCAGCAGCTCACTGGAGCTGCCCAGGCCGGACACCCTGCAGGGATGGGTGCCCAGGATGCAGGTGCTGCCTCTGGGTTGGGGCACTTTCAGACCCCAGCATCTTCCCAGGTGGGGTGATGGGGATGGCAGTGCCCTGCCTACCAGGCAAAGAGGCTTGCAGGAAAAGTGGGAGAAGTGCAGAAATTCATCCTGGAATTTTACAAAGGCCACCTCGAGTCTGGGCCAGACCATCCCTGTGTGCAAGGAACACTGTTACCTCAAAGCCAGTTCCAGTCTGCTGGAGCATCAGCCTCAGAGGCTTCCCTCTTGATGGATTTCAGGATGAGGAAATCCAGCTTGGGCCAGGCATTAAGCCCAAGCCCAGTACTGCTGCAAGTCCTACCTGAACACTGAGCAAAAAGAGACTCCTGCCCACAGTCATGTGCCCACTGCATTATCCCTCTTGCATCCCACCTCTGCCACACAGTGCTGTCCACTGTTTCCTTCCCAGTCCCTCCACACCCACCAGGTATCTCTTCTGTGCCATGGCTTGGAAGCTGTTTGGGATGGGAGCTGTAGTGTTGGTTTAAAGTCCCAAACCAAACTCTGGGCTCTGAGACACGATGACAACACTAAAAATAACCAGTACAACAAAAGGTACCTCTGCTTCCCATGGCTCTTCCGTGGTCTTGGGGTGGAAATTGAAAGAGCCCTGAACACAAAGCAGGTGGCTCCAGACAAGCACAAGGTGGGGGTTTCTGAGGAAGGACTTGGCGCAGCACATCTGGGGAAACCACGAGTGGTGTTTCTGGTGTCCCAGCCTCCAGCCCTCACGTGTTTCACAAGTGGGCACGTGTTGTTCCAGCACAGACCGCAGTGGATGCCTTGCTCCCACCTCCTCCTGCCAGGCACCTCACTCTCGGGGGGAAAGTCTTCCTCATGCTCCACCAAGGGCAGGATCAGGATTAAACCCCATGGGAGACACTGTGATGGTCCTCAGGTGGAGCAGAGAAAGGCTGGGTTGACTGCTGATGGTGCACCTACAAGGTGCCATCCCCACTTTTGTAACCAAGCATCCCATGGGAGCTGACAGGAGTTGGAGGCTCCATTTCACTTGGGATCCTGGTGAATCCTCAAAAATCTTGGTCTTCACCCATCTCCACTCACAAGCACCAAATCTAGATTCTGTAATACCTGCAAGGAACGTGCACAGGGGTGCAGGTAAGACCACAAGCATCCCACCAACACAGTTGCAGCACAGACACAGGGACTCCCTTAATCCTAATGTTTGATCACAGAGTTCAAGCTGATTTTCCCATCCCAGGGCATTTTTTGGGGTGCTGTAAGTTGTGTTGTCCACTGTGCACCTACAACTCTTTGGGACAGAGGCTGTAACTGCAGGGGGCTCAGCTTTAAGTCCCACAAGGGCTGAGCACTTGATTTATTTTAGGGAGGCTTCACTGAGAAGGCTGAGTTGCTCACCCTAAAACAGTTGCAGACTGAAGAGCCTCGTGGCAGACATGAGTTGTGGTCAACTCACCTCAGGTCAGGGTCCTCACACCTTGACTGTGCCCTGAGCACACACTCATGCTTGAGAAGAGCTCTGTCATCCACAGAGAAAGGTAGATCAGCAGAAAAGTGCAGCTCTGCTTTGATACCCAAGTAGAGAGGCCAGTTTTGCTTCGACCTCCTCAGCATCTTCTAAGGGGACTCAGCCTCTAGCTGCCTGGATCTGCAGCCATCCCTCTCAGAAGTGCCTGCATCCCTGGTACCTTAGGTTCCAGGATCACCCCATGAAGACCAATTTTTCCCTGCCTGTGCCCCTTGGCTCAGGGCAGGGTCTGCTGTGGGGAAGGAGATGGAGCTCACCTTTGTCCCTGCTGCAACACTGACCTCGTTTGACCAAGGCAGATGCTCCCTTTTCACCCTTGGTGGTTCACAAACACCACCCACCCCCACTAGACCAGGGCCCATGAGAAATCTGGATGGAGAAGTATCCTGGTTTCCCCTGAGATAATTTTCTTCTTAGGAGGGATGAGCAATTGTATTGTGCATCAGTTGTTTCTCTTGGGTTTTATTCCTTTTTATTTGTGTAAGTATCAGTATCTACTCTTTTTTTCAGCTAGAATCACAGAACGGTTTGGGTTGGAAAGAACCTTAAAGCTCACCTCATTCTACCCCCTGCCATGGGCAGGGACAACTTCCACTTGACCAGGCTGCTCCAAACCCCCTCCAACCTGGACACTTTAAGGGATGGGGCAGGCACAGCTTCTCTGGGAAACCTGTGCCAGCATCCCTCCCCCGCCTCACAGGGAAGAATTTTTTCTTTAATTAAAAGAATTTTAAAAAACTATAAACTGCTCTTATCTGAAGGCACTAGGTTTACCTTTTCTTTCCAGTTTTCCTCCCCTCTGAAGGGATAAAAGGGAACGAGCAAGTGTAAGGTACTTGGCTGCCCACAATATGATAGGGGTGAAACACTCCCAACTCCATGGGAGAGAGAAAAGAGGAAGCCTTTGAGTAGAACTTTAAATAACTGCCCCCATCCCATCACCTTGAAGCATCACAGCCCAGGGCACAGAGCCACGAACACCCAGGTCAGTGCTGTGGCAGATGAGCAGGGATGTCCCTCCATCCTCCCTGGGATGAAGGATCTGCAAGTGATACCCTTTCCTTCCCTACACTGCATCACAGCAATTTGACTCTTTTCTTTCCTGCCAGAAGATGAATCCAGGAAGTTTTAGATCAGGAAGGAGCTGATAGAGGCTGAACACAAACCCCACCCCAGGTAAGACCAAATTATGAGCAAGTCAGAGACACCAGACGCTCCTCACCAGCTTTGAGACCCCACTCACTGCACCCAAAAACCACTCTGTGAGAGAAATACAAAACATAGCACTTTAATTGCTGGGAAATTAAAAAAAAAATCACAAAACAATTAATGAACCTCAAGCATAAAATAAATAGGCAGCTTGGTGGCACGCCTACATGTGCTGGCCCAGTTTGTAAGGCATGAGCCCCATGGCCCAGCAGGTCCCCAGTGCTGGGGGCACACACAGAGCATGTTAACAAGGATTTACACATGGATGACGCTGCCTGGTCACGCCTGGGAGAGCCCAACACGTGTGTTTGGGAGGGTGAAGCCAAACTATTCACACTACGCTGCGATCTTTAAAATTAAAGATTTATTTATATTTATATAAACTCTGTCTCTGGTTAGGAAAAAATTAAGATTCCTATAGTTCTGATATTCAAAATTTACATATAGAATCTCTGCAATAGTTTCCAAATTTCCATATACGTTGGGAGGAAAGATAAACCTCATAGCAAAAATAAATCTCATAGCAAAAATAAAGAGGAATTTCAGAAACTCTCCTTGGAAGGGACACCCTGTCTTCCATCAGCAGGACTCTTTGGAGGGGGAAAGCTGATTCCCAGAAATAATTTCCTAAATTTGAGCATTTTAAGGCTTTTCCAAGATTCACCTCTTACCCAATTACTATTCTCAGCAAGGTCTGAGTTGCAGATCGTGGGGCCAAGTCGTTATAGCTGTTGATTTTTGGTTCTGCTTGACTGGCTATTAACAAAGGCAACACAAACAAAGCCAGCCCTGACCTTCCTGCACAGCTTAGACACTCCCTCCTCCCCCAGCCATGAGCTATAAACAGTCCTGGGACTACAACAAATCATTTTTATCATAAATTGTTTGCACAATGGACACTGAGCCTCCAACCTACTTGCTCACGGCAATTTTTACTACTGGATTTATACTGACTCTGGACTGGAAACAGCAAAGAACAAAACCCAACTTTTCCAAAATGGGATTTTAGGCACTCGTGGGACCAGTTTGGGTCTAGATCAACCCAAACCACCAGACTGAGTGCAGAGGAGGAGGCTCAGACAGCAATCTGTTGGTTTTCTCGGAAGAGCGGCCGCTGGTGTGTCATGCAGATGTCCTGTAAGATCCTGTACACCTGGTCATGCTGGGGCTCGTCAGCCATGGGGAGCATGGGGTTGCTGCTGCAGGTCTTCCCAGCCTCCTCCACCACCTGCTTGACATACAACTGCTCCACCTGTGCAAGAAGAAAAATCATGGAATAAGTCAAGGAACAAAGGAGCAGTCACAGGAGCTCCTCCCAGGGAGATACTGAGGTGCAAGGACAGGCTGGTGGGTGTCCAAGGACATGCAGAGTGATCCTCTGGTGCAGACAACCAAGGCAGGAGGTGACCAGGTCAGAAAGTTAGGCAGGGAGGCACAGGACCAGTCTCTGACCTTGTAAAGTCCCCTCCAGGACCTCACAGACTTGGTGGGTCTCTCCTTGCCCAAGGAGGGATGCAACACCCTCCCTGTGCCCTCCGTGTCATGTCCCTGCTGCTGCAGCCCGGCTGGCCTAAGAGACTCCAGAAAACCCCTGCCCCAAAGCTTTTTGATCCCAGAATTGCTGCAGATCCTCCAGGGAAAGGTTTATGGGCAGAGCCATGAGGACTGACCCTCTCATTCCATCCCCTCCCTCGCCCTCCTGAAGGTTTCCCAACCCCACTGCTGCCAACCACAGTTGTTCACCACATCTGATGGCTCATCAGCCTAAATCAACCAGTCCAGGGATTTACTTCCCCATTTCCCACAGGAAAGGGAAGAGGTCCTAGTACCAAGAAGCAGGAACAGGAGGAAGAGATGATTTTCTGTAGCTGTTTAGAAAGGCTTTTACCATTCAGGAGCTTTGTCTGCAAACAAGATCCACCCAGACCAAGGAATCTGACAAGCAACAGCCCAAGCACCTCTCAGGAGGCGGTGGATAAGCCAACACTCCCATCACACCTGCCACCCCACCAATTCAGGCACCCAAATTCCCTGCACCTCCAGGGTTTGAAGCTCAAGCCCTACTCATAGAGCTCTGCTGCCAAAATTCCCACCTTTTCTGGACCACGTTACCCTTTTTTACCCCAACCCTCCGTACCTGGACAAGGATGAGCTTACACCTTGGTGGCACAGCATCTGGGAACTCCTCTCCAAAGCACAGCATGACTCTGCTGTCTGGGAAGCGGCCCTGGTTGCTGTAGTACTGCTGCAGCTCTGCAAGGAGAAGGCAACACTTGGAAGCTGCCAGCCTTGGTTACATAGCTCTGGGATCAACCACTCTGTGCTGTTAAAGGAAGCTGTGGGCTCCAGAAGCCACTTTCATCGTGCAAAGCCTCCAACTGGGACAAAACAAGGGACCCAAAATACCAGGTTATGCCTTCCTAGATCTGGTAGCATCACCTACTCATCCTGAGCACTCAGGGAACACAGTGATGGAGAGTGCTAACTTCAAAGTGCCCCAAGGAAAAAAGGCTCTATCCTTTCAACCCCACCATATGGCCCAAGTGGATCCCCTCACTGGGTGCAGGCTCCAGAAATTCCTTATGCATTGTCCTAAGGTTTTGGGATCCCAGAATTGCTCCACCTTCTCCAGGGAGAAGTTTCTGGGCAGAACTATGGGGACCACCCTCCTCATTCCATCCCCTCCTTCCCCCTCCTGAAGGTTTCCTAACCCCATTCCTGCTCACCATGGCTGTTCACCACACCTGTTGGCTGATCAGCTCAAATCAACTAGTCCAGGGATTTATTTCCCACAGGAAAGGGCAGAGGTCCCAATGCCAAGAAGCAAGAACAGAAGGCTCTTACAAACCTCTGAAGAACAAGCTGGTGTCAAATATCTTCATCACCTCATCCCGCTCCAGTTTGTTGGGCCTGTCCTTGTAGGCCACGGTGTTCCCGCTCCAGAAGACCCTGCCCTGGCACAGCCTCTTGATGAAGATGCCCTGCTTGTTGCTGTGCAGCAGGACACCCCTCTCCAGGTGCCCAAAGAGCTTCCTGGTGATCTGCTTCTGGCGGTCGTTCGGGATGGCGTCGGCCGAGGGGAACGGGACATGTTCCAGGGCATCCGGGGCATAGAGCTTCTCCCCGTGGCCAGAGGGCTGGCCCAGAGCGATCCTGCAGCCCTCAGAGCACGAGGTGCTGACGTGGCCCACCAGCTTCCCGCTGTAGTAGAAGCTGATCACCATCTGGGAGTAACCTGGAAGGTGATGGACACAGATGTCTCATCAGGAGAAGGCAAAGCATGCCTGCTCCTCACTCAGTGCCCAAACTCTGTGAGGGCAGCAAAGTTTCCTGGGAGCAAGTCTCACTTGATGAAGGGACATCTCTCCCAGGGCATTTAGACTGGTACAGTGCTGGTCAGAAGTGAGAGCTCCCAAGATCACAAAATCAGTGGGGTTGGAAGGGACCTCTGGAGACCCTCCAGTCCAATCCCCCTGCCAAGGTAGGGTCATCCAGAGCAGGTGACACAGGAACACATCCAGGTGGGTTTAGAATGTCTCCAGAGGAGGAGACTCCACGCCTTCCCTGAGCAGCTCCAGTGCTCTGCCACCCTCCATGGAAAGAAGTTCTTCCTCATCTTGAGGTGGAACTTCTTGTGCTTTAGCTTGTGGCCATAAAACACATGGAACCCCTTCCTCCTGCCTTTGCTCCACTCTCTCCTTGCTGTGGGCAGATCCCCCCATGCCAAAGGCACAGCTTATCCCAGCATCCCAACATCCCAGCACAGCAGCCACGCCAGGCAGGATGTGTCACTGCTCAGTGTGAAAACCCTGTGGATAATCAGGGGGGTGCAGCACCTCCTAAACCCAGAGCAAAGCCTCCCTCTCAAGGCAAGGAGCAGAGTCAGAGCCACCTTCTGCCACCACACACAGAGGCTGAACCCCAGAGAGGTATCCAGTGTCCAGGTGAGGTGCCTTACCTGAATGATACTGCTCATAGCCAGAGTATCCATTCATCAGGGGCAACGCTGTGGGCAGAGAAAGCCGAGCTGAGCCTACATGCCCATCTCCCAAACCCCAATCCCCCTGTTTTCCCCCACCATCACTCTGGTTTTTGGTCCCAGGTTTCCCAGCTCCCACACAGGAGATGCCAGCAAAAACTCCCAGGAGGATTTCATAATCAGTACTTTAAATACTCTTAATAAGAAAGACAACATGCAGCTGCTGTCTGTTATGTATCACTGCACAGGGAGACTTCTCCTGCCCCAGACAAACCTCAGTCCCAAACACCACACACGCTGTCAGCCACTTACCAGGGTTGGGCTGCTGCACCCACCAGTCAGGTATTGGGGGGTTTCTGCAGGTCTCTGGGGAGGGTGAGGGGCTCCTCTTGATGATCCCCAGGTATTCATCCACACAGGAGGGCTGTGGGGGACGAGATACTGAGATCAGAGCAGGTTTGATGCCTTGGGCAGAGTTGCCCTCCGGTGAGGCACTTGCAGCACTCAGAGAGGGTCCAAATGGCAATGCCAACAGGATGCCAATGAATTTTTTGGGTTGGAAAGACCAAGTCCGGCATTGCCCAGGTTGTACACTCAAATAACACCCTCAAGAGCTACTGATAGGCAGCTGGATGTGACATGGCTGAGAAGAGGAACAGAGCTGTGACACAGACTCCATCCCCTAGTGAAGGTCTCGCCCACCCAGATGACCATGAGAAGCAGGAACATCATCACAGCCACATCCTGATGCTGGCTCACATGAATGAGCTGCTGATCCCCAGGGTTTTACAGTTGGAATTTTTGGGAGGCAACGCTTTATCAGACAACTTGGCCCCTCAGTGCCCCTCCAGCCAAGGTGACCTGCAGCCACAGTGAGGACTTACCTCTTTGATGAGGTCATCGATTGCAGAGGAGCTGCAGTCCATCTCCGTGACGTCATTCAGGCTGCTCCCATTGCCAGCACCTGCTTTGCCTGGAAGGAGAGGCAGGGATGCAGTGAGGACACACACACCTCATCTCAACGATGGGCTTTAAAAATCTTTCATCCCATGAAAGTTGTGAAACCAAGAACCACAGCACAGCAGAGCCATGTAACAGCACCTTGGAGAGGCTCACAGCTCCCTCCACAGCTGCTTTTTGACGCCAAAAATGAAGTTTACAACCCACTGTCCCACTGTACAGCGAGCAGCAGCAAGGAAAATCAAAATTCTGGCTAGCTAGAACACAGCTAGAGCAGAGGAGAGGTTTGGAGGGTTTTTTGAGCACCCCAGAGACTGGGGTTGCTGCTGCTTCTCCTTTTTTCCACCAGCCACCCCAGTGCAGTCATGCTGCTGGTGGGAACCTGCAGTGCCATTTGCATAGAGGCAGCACAGCCCCCTGTGTGAACAGGCTGGAAGAGACAGAGATGCTAAAGGCAGATTTCCTGAGAGCAAAATAATTAATTTTTTTTGCAAATTTTAAGCTTACATAAAAAAGGAAAAAAGCACACACACCCCTAACCACAAATAGAGATATACTTAGTGTGACCGGGGCCACACCAGACATCACAGCAGCTCTGCAAAATTGCTGCCTCTCCATCACTGCTGGCAAGAGAGGGATTTATTGCAGCTCCCCACCATCCACAGAGGGCAGATATTGGGAGGACAAGGGGTTTGGGCTCACGTACCTCCCCCAAGCAGGGAAGGATGCGGGATTTGCCCCTGCAGCATCCTTAGGGGATGGAAGCCTACACAATGCTGTAGTTGTCCCCTAAGTAGCTGTTCAGGGGCCTAGAAAAACAAGCCTGTCCTTCCTCCTCCCCTCCTGGCCACCACAGTGACATGGGGACATCTGCAAAGCAGGAAAAGCAGAGAGAGACAGCCCCAGAGCAGGGTCTGGCCAAGCAGCTCTGCTCAGACACAGGTCAGCAGCACGAGTCCATGGTTACAGATGGACCCACAACAGGGCTCAGTCCTTCACTGGGGCACTCACATTTCTGCTCCTCCTCTGGCACGATCCTGTAGACCTTGTAGGGCTCGGAGATGTCCAGCTGGGACCTGTCTGTCACCTCCTCAAAGTCAGGGCTCTTGTTCAAAGCACAGCGCAGCCGCGTCTTCCACGTGGCCGGCTCAGCTTTGTCACCTTCTTTGAACTTGCCTTTGAAGACAGCCCAGGCCTAAAGCACAGAACAACAACAGAGAAAAAAAAAAAAAAAAAAAAAGAGAAAGTAATCCTCCACCCGAGCTCTACAAACCCTCTCGAGCCCAGGGAGGAAGGAGCTGGGGCTGCAGAGAACATTTTGCATCTTGCTCTGCCCCCTCCCAGCCATCCCATGGGTATTTGTTGTTTCACTCCTAGACTGCAGACAGAGGCACAGCCCTGACCACCTGGGGGTGGGTATTTGGGTGTAGAGCAACACTAACTGCCCCAGGGATGCAAAAAACTCTTTTAAAACTCAGGTTTTAAAAAAGCAAAGGTCAAGATCATAATATGTGGCTTCATCTCTGCACCAGCTGGGAATCTGAAGAATCATTGCTGAAACTGTTGTTCCTAATACCCCAGTAACACCTCAAATAAAAATCAAAATAACCTTCATTTTCCAGTTCCTAAGTAATAAATGAAAGCTGCTTTCCCTTTAAGATCAGAGCATAATTTGTGCTTTTGGAAGGAGAATACATTTTACTCTGGATGGAAAAGAGATATTTTTTAAATATACATATTTATTTCTTTCCTAGCTCTTTTTGTATCTTCAGATGATGAATTCAGTGCCATCTTCGTAACTCAGTGCTCCCAAAACAGCTGCTAACCAGCTGTCACTGCCCTGAAAGTAAATTCCCTCACCAGTACAGATATTTGGAAATAGGGCAGAGGGAAGGGGATTCCTGGGGAAGACCTGACCTTTCTGTTTCAGTAAGGAATTTTCCCATTTTCCCCCTAAACTGGAAATCCCCCCTGCATCAGTAAATCTTTCCTTCCCTCCTGCCAAGTCTTTTTAGTTGCTTTTTATAAATCCAGCCTTTTATCTAGAAAAGCTGACAAGTTTAGAGTAGGTCAAAATGAACACACTGATCTCCTTCTCATGTAAGACCTGGATTCAAATATGATAAAAGCAAACCTAGTGAACCTGTATGAACTGGTTTTTGGTCTAAAAAAGCAGCTCTGGATGGGGCTGTGAGCCTCTTCAGGGTGCTGTGGTTCTTGGTACCAGAACTGGTACCAACATTTCACAGAAAGGAATAAATACCCCCAAAAGAACCTGGGATACCAATTGCAGGTTGAAGCACCTCCTGCAAGGGTTAGAGATGCAAAACTCAGGCTCATCACGGACACGTCTCATCAGTGGGACTCATCAAGGGGACAAAACAGCACCACAGAGACCACAGTTCACCAAGAAAAGGCATCAAATATCTGCCCCTACCTTGAAAATAGAAGCATCCACCTCCTGGTTGTAGTCCTGCTTCCCGGCGTGCTTCCAGGGGATGCGGAACATGGATTTCTCCTCGTTCTCCCAGATGAGCCCGGGGTACATCTCGCTGTCAATCTGCTCGATCAGCCACTGCCGGAGCCGCCGGCCACCGTTCCGGTCACACATCCTGGATGGGGGGAGAGGGCCAAGCCCTGTTAGCTCTTCCAGGACCATCCCACCACAGCTGGGGCACAGGGATCCGGCTGGTTTTCCCCATGCACAGCTGGCAGTGGCACTGCCTGCAGGGACAAGAAGCTTCTAGCATCTCTGAGGGTCCTATGTACCAGTGCCTGCCCATGGCAAAGGGTTGGAATGAAATGATCTTTAAGGTCCCTTCCAACCCAAACCATTCTGGGATTCCATTATTCTATAATTCTGTGACTAAAATACTCACCCCTGCTTCTTTCACAACCACAAAAATCAAGGCAATTTCCTCTGAATTGCTACAAGTTCTTCCTCTGGCTCTATCAAAGTTCTGCTCACAGAACCAGCTGACTTAGTGCTCTGCTTACTCCTATTTTGCTGGGGGATAAGTCACATAGAAAGCAGATGGATGGGGATTAAAACACCTGAGCAAGTGACACCAGACAGGACATTCCAGGGCAGACACCCATTAGTGATGAGTCCTAGAGCAGTCCCTGGTCTTGGCACAAGGATCTGCCCCAGAGGAAAAGCGGCCCCTCTCACCAGGCACTGCCTGTTTGGGGAGCAGGTGACTCCAAGCAGCATCAAAAGTCACCACAGTCATGGGGAACATACAACCAACCTCTGAAACAGAGAGACAATGCCAGGATGGAGCAAGATGAAACCAAACCACCCTTGCTGGGGACCTCAGGTCATTTCTAGCCAAAACCTCTGGGTGACTTCATGGAAGACCCATGTGAAAGCTTCTCCCACCCAGGCGGAAGGAAAGTTCCAGGCTCAGCTCTCCCTGCACCCCCAGTCACCTCTATGCCATGACCTGCAGGAGCTCATGGCCTGGCAGAAGTGACCAGCAGCCGTAGCATCAGCTCTCCAGGCATTTTGAGCTCACAGCCCTCCTGCAAATTTTACAAGATTGCCTCTCCATCATTCATTTGCTATTTACTGCCCCACTGAAGGATTTTGGGGAGAAAACAAGGTTGTTCCTAGCATAACCTAAGACAGAGCAGCTCCTACTTTGCCACAGGCTCCCACCAGCTCCGTGCCACCAAATTCTGTCCCTTCTCCACTGCTGCCCAGCAGGACACAGTGATGCCCTTGGCCATGCACAGCACAGTCTGCTTTCAGAGACTGTGAGAACCAACAGCAACAGCCAAAACACCATCGAGGGCACAACTCTGGATCCCAGCTGGATGTTCCAAAAGACACGCCACAGCTCATCCCTAGAGGGACGGGGGTACACACAGCCTTTCCTGGGGGCTCCTGTACCAAACCTGTCACACCGAAAACCTCAAAAATCCTGCTTAAATGGGACTCTAAGTTACCTCATTTTCTAGAAAGCTTCTTCCCATCACTACCAGAGGCAACACACTCAGGACATGGGCAAGGCGCCCTCCCGAGCTCCCCACTCGGGGCGACCGTCCGCCAGCAAATCGGGCGGGCAGAGGCAGCCCCGGACTATCCCCCTGCGGTCCAGCACCGCAGCTCCAACCCGCCCATCCCAGGCTGTGCCCCGGGGAAACGGGGACAGCACCTCCCGCAGCGTTCGCCCCTTATCACCACGGTCCCGAAAAGTCCCTTGCCCCTCCCCGTAGTCGTGCGGGCAGTCGCCGCGGCGGGTCCCTGCCCTCCCACGGACGCTGCCGGTGCCGATACCTGCCCGTTCCCGGTGCCGATCCCGTCCCTCCCGTCCCGCTCCCGGTGCCGCACCCGCGCCTCGCGCCGCCCCCGGCTTATATGGGAGCCGGGGAGGTGGGGCCGGCCCTGTCCCCGCCCCTGCCCGGCTCCGCCAATAGGAGGCCGCCTCCCAAACGTCGCGCCGACCAATGGGGAGCCGCCCGGCGGGGCGCGCGCGGCCCGCGCAGCTTTCTCTGAAGCGCGCGGCCTTCCCCGAAATCAGCTGATCCGGAGGGGGCGGGGCCTCGAGCGAGGGGGCGGGGCGTTGTCCGCAGGGGGCGGGGCCGGACCGGGGTGACCCGCCCATGTCCGGGGTCCGTCCCGGGTCGGGCCGTTCCCGGTGCTGACCCCAACTGGGCTGAGCTCAGCCTCGCCAAGGTCGGGCCCTCCCCACCCCACACCAGCCTTCCCTGTCTCGGGTTAATCCACGCCCACTTCCAAACCATTTTTCCCAGTCCCAGACCACTCTCTTCCCAGTCCCAGGCTGGTCCATGCCCAGTCCCAGATCAGTCGGTCCCCAGTCTCACATCAGTATCCCCAGCCCCGGATCAATCCGTCCTCAGCCTCAGATCAACCTTCCCCATTTCCAGATCAGTCTCCCCAGTCCCAGATCAATCCAGTCCCATACCAGTCTTCCAAGTCCCAGACCAGCCTCCCCAGCCAGTCCCAGATCAGTTTCCCTAGTCCCAGATTGGTCCCTCCCCAGCCACAGACCAGTGTCTCCAATCCCCGCTTCCAGCTCAGTCCTGCCCCATTACCAGATTGTTCCATCCCCAGTCCCAGATCACTCTCCTCAGTCTCAGATTGATCCCTCACCTGTTTCCAGCCAGTCTCCCCAGTTTCCAGCTGGTCTCCCCAGTCATAGCTCAGTCCATTCCCAGTCCCAGATTGGTCCCTCCCCAGCCCCAGACCAATCTCTCCCATCCCAGATTGGTCCGTGCCCTGTTCCAGGTTAGTCTTCTGATTCCAGTTCAGTCCATCCCCTGGCAGATCCTAGTTCCCTCCTGGATCAACCCACAGTCCTGGATCATTAGCCCTGGCTATTCCTACTGTTCCCAAGCCAGACTCAGTGCCCTGGCCGTGTCCAGCTCCCCCAGCCCAGCCTGGCCGTGCCCAGCCAGGGCTTCTGGCCATAGCAGCGCATAAAGGACCATCTGCAGCCTGACTTCAGAGGGGGTTTTTTTTTGGGATTACCAGATTACACTCAGATTTCTTGGAAGAAAACCATAATTACTCCCATGTGGGTAATACAGAGAAATGTGAAATGTATGGAGCTGCACAGATGGTTTAATAAAAGTAAAGATCCAAGGTGCACAACCTTTCCTGTCATTTCTAATAAAGAAAGGCTGTAACAGTCCTTGTTTTTAAACACCCGACTGATCCTCATCAGATCCCTCCCCACGAGATTCAGGGAGAGCCAAAAACATCTTTTGCAACCAGATGCGGTCAGGAGCATTAATTCTCTTCTTTGACAAAAGAAATGTTGAACTTTTTTGCAGGGGGGGTTGTATCACTGTCCCTCACAACATTAATCCTGCCTCCTCGTGCCAGATGGAGATATCACTGTAAAAAACCTGTTAATTTTGTAAAAGTTGGGGCAAATTCAGGACATTTAAAAGGGTCTTCATATAATCAAACCTCTCCATCCCCTCTGAAGACCAAAGACCTGGAAACACAGCAATGGAGTGGGGTGACCCCATCACTTCATTTTGGCTCTGCCACTTCATAGGCAGCCTGGAAAGGCAACATCTTAATTCTCTGGAGTAAGGATAAAATAATAACTCTGTTAAGATGGGTTTTCAGGCATTTAGTTTAGGCTGGGAGTGAGATGCCCCACAGCCCTGCCCATGGCTGGCAAAAGAAGACATGGATGCCAAGGGGGAGCAACAGGGCCAGGAATTTTTTGTGAACTATTTCCCCGTGTGTGAACAACACCCTGGGAAGCTCATTCATGCTTCAGTGGAGTGATTTTCCTTGTGCCAGAGGCACCAGGCTTCCGGGAAAGCTGATGTGGCACAGGAGAGCTGAGCAGCCAAGTGTGCAGTGCTCTTTGCAATGCAGAAAGGAGTGGAAATCAGCCTGGTTTTACCTGCCCCAGGGCTTGCATTCCAGCTCCCAGAAAGCCTAAAGCCACCACAGGTCCCACTGATGTGGCCAGAGTGGAAAAATATGTATATTCACCGAGGTCACTCCGCAGATTTGGGGGAAATTTGGTTTAGATGCTGTTTGGGCACAGTTGTTGCTATGATGCCAGGCATGGGGGATGCTGCAGTTTACAGGGAGCATCCCTTGTGGTACCCCAAATCTGGGGGATTTTTCCAAGTTTTGCTTTGGTGCCACGGTTCCTTGGGGAATGTTTGAATCCCAGGATGGGCAGTTGTGGGACAGGAAGGACATTAACACCCAGGCTGGAGCAGGGACAGCACAGACAGCACTCTGTGGAGGTTATCACACCTACTGCAGACCCAATCTCTGTTATCACCCATCTCCAATGACTTCCTATTAACACCAGAAACCCACTTTCTTCTCTTTTTTCTTCCTGTGTGCAAGTTCCATTTTTCTGCTTCCTGAAATGATAACGGAGGCTCTAAATCCAGTATTGATCCAATTTGCTCAACCTCCCTTCAGTCCGCTCCATCAACAGCTTTTTATGGGCCTTGATCTCATTAATTGCTTTCCCACACAGAGCAAGCTGCAGGCACAAACCATGGCATTAGTCCCATGTGGAATAACAGCCACAGGGACCCTTTTCTCCATTGGAAAAGGTGGGAAAAGCTTCCATATTTCTTTTTCCCAGAATTCTATATATAATGGCTAAACATTGAGTCTCTAAATCTTCTGATTTTGCTGGTGGTTCTCATCAAGAAAATGAGAAACAGGACACATCAGCAGAGCGGTCATGTCATTCCATCTCTCTGTTCCCACTAGGAATACCACAAATCAAGTCCAGCCATCATCATGCTTTTAATCAGTCTTGTCTTTATTAGGATTTGGGTGAGTCACTCCTGGTGCTGTTACACTTCGAGTACTCAGAAGTTTTGATTAGGAGAATTCCTAGAAATATTTTTAATGCCTTTTTTCTCAGAAGGAATTTCAGAACAGATATTTTTGAGAAGTCAAACAAGGTATTTATAGTAAAAGGGCAAAGTGGCATGGAAGGGTTGAAGGTTTCCATGTGGAAGGGCTGAATGGGATGAGTCCCCTTCCTTATAGGACAGGTAGGGGGATTCCTGCCAATGAAAGCCCTGGAAATGAGTTTGGGATGAAAAGCAGGACATGGTCACAGTCTTTTGATATTAAAAAGTGCTGTAGGAGAGGGGCAGCATTAAACTGGTCCATGGGTTAACTGAGTCCAACCAAGCAATTGGCTTTTTTTGCTAACAGGGACATTCAGATCAGGCTCAGGGAAAACCCAAAGCCTCTTTGGCTCTGGGGATGGAAGCAGTGGGACAGGCAGCCTCCAGCACTTCTGGATTTCCCCCCTCCCTGTGGGTGGGTTAAGAAAAATGCCAGACATATGTTTGCCAAGGACAGGCTTGACCAGGAAAGTCCAAGAACATCGAGGCACATCTGCAGCCCCAGGAGCCCCCAGCCCATCTTCCCATCCCTCTGGGTGCCAGACAGGGCTAAGCAGCATCTCGACACCCAGGATTCATCCCTCCCTCCTCAGGGCAAGCTACATCGGCCCAAGTGTCACTGCAAAGCAGAGGACAAGGTGGCCTTTCTCCATCTCATCCCATTATGGCTTTCCAAGGTCTGCATTCCCATGCCCTGCCAGAAGAGAGTATCGAGTATCAAGATGTCAGAGAGAGGGACAGGGCTGGCTGCTGCTCTGGGGATGAAAAGTGGCCGTGATCCATTGGGAATGGGGGAACAGGACAGAGCAAGACCCTGTCACCAATTAACTGGCTTGCCCAGGGGTACACACTGAGCTGGCAGCCAAGAGAGGGGTCTGTGAGTCCTGTCCCTCCAGCTCCAGCCCTGGAGCCCAGGGCCGGTGCTGGCAGCTTTCTGCCCCAGACATGAACCCCCAGAGGTGCTTGGCAAGGGGAAGTGAGTTTTCCAAGTCCCAAGGCCAACGCCTGCCCAAGAGCAGCCAGCTGCTTATCTGTTCATCCATCT